CCGTCGCCGTCGACTCACGGCAGCCCAGCTCCAGGTTGAGCTGTTGTTCAGCATCTTAGCTGTAGAGGGCAGTGTCACTGGCCCTCATATGTGGTATCCGAACCGGGGGCCGTCTGGCGTCCCAAGCCATCTCTTAACCAATGCGCCACTCGGCCGGCCCCAGGCTGACCTTTCAAATACTTGTACTTGGACCAGAACTATATTGAACAAATACTTAGTGAATGCAACCTTTGTGGTAGGTAAGAAGGATATATAGGCAAATGAGCCATCCATATGGCAGTGGTTTTTCAACCCAGTGGATCCCAATGGCTTTATAATAACAAGTATTTTATATTTATTCCTCTTTCTGCCCTGAAAAGGAATTCATAGATGAGAAAACTTCCCTACACATATAATTTCAAAGTAGTTAATCTAATGTACTAGATGTAATGTAAATGTGGGGGAAAAGAGAAAAGTAATATATAATTAAGTCATGTGTTTCAGCTTGTGAATGCTTGGGCAAAATAGTCCTGTGTGCCTTTCTGTAGAGCTCCTGTGAATGGGACAGTTACAAATGCAGACCGGTAAAGGTATGATGTGTTGGACTCACATGTCACTCTCAGTGATTTGATATTTCTAAACAGTGAAAACAGCTCTTGGTAAAGCTCTGAACCAAACAAAGTACTTTCTGCCTTCATTTGATACAGAAGTTGTCTTCCTGAAAAATTCAGTGACCGTCAAAAACCATGCTTTGGATTCACACATAAAATGGAGTTAGGTTCTGGGCTTAAGTAATAGCAGGTTTTCCCCAACATCTGCATTGGATAGGGCATTTAAAACTGCTCTGAGATGATGGAATGACGGGATGACTCTTCCCCGTGCACAGCACTTTTGAGCGTTGCAGGGTATTTACCAGAATCCCTGCCCACCACATGCCCTGTAGCCTCCCTACCAGTCATTGCAACCTGCAAGAAAGCATCCCACAGGTGTCTAAGAGGGTGCTGCTGGGAACCACTGATCTCAGGTTACTTGCGCAGGCAGCTGAGTTCCAGAAGTTCATTTGAAACTTTCAGTTGATTTTTCTTAGCAACAATGTTATAAATGGTTACTAGGCTTTCTACTCAGCCTAGTAAAGCATGTTTAACCATTATATATTCCTGAATGTGGTACCAAGTACTACTTAAATATAACTCTTCATTCCCTATAACACTGATTCTTGGAGGAAGGGGGTGTGATTTTGTGTTCTAACTGTGGGCCCACGGATTTGATCTATTCCCCTGTTTTCTTTATTCTCCCACCACCCGCCCCTGATTTAAATAGCAAATAGTAACCAGGGACTCGAACAGAGCACTGGAAGGCAAGTAGTATGTTAGCATAAAGAAAATCACCACTTTGTCAGTATTCTGAATTTGGAGAACATGTGGGGACCAAGGGGACAACAAATCTATTATGTTGTAGGGGTCAATTACTTGTGATCTTACTGTCCACTTAAGCAGTATGTCCTTCCGAACGATTACATAGGAATAGTACTCAGGTGTGCCTGGCCCTGTGCTGTCCCTGTGACAGCTCTGCTAGCTGAGGCTGCTTTCCCTGTCCTTCTGAAGCAGAACTTCAGGCTTGCAGGACACAGCAGTTTGTTAAAGATGACCTGACAGGTGGCGGTGGTCACAGTGCCATAAACAACTGACCAGCACTGCTTTTTTCAAAAAAATGTTCCCCTGCTCCTTCCAAATGAGAGCTTATTGTTCTGTGTTCTCAGTAGGGAGGAGGAGTGGGTTTATTTTTGGAAACTGGCCAAAACCTTTTGAACCACATTACTTAGTAAAATGATCAAACATCGTAGATTGTGTCCTATTTTTGAGTAGAAAAATGAGGTGTCAACCTTAGGTAAAGATTTTGTTGCTTTTCTTTCTCATAGACTCTAAAAGGAGCTGTAAAGAGTTTCCACTAAGTTTGAGCAATTATGCTATCTAGTAAATATAAGGCATCTGAAAGTGACTTTCATTTGTAGTCTTCATATTTTTTCAATATTTTATTATAAATTTTTTAAAACATATAGCAAAGGTGAAGGAATTTTGCATATATCCAACCACTTAAAGCCTACCGTTAACATTTTATTATGCTTGTTTTATTATGTATTTATCCTACCATCCCTTTAATCAGTGGCTCTCAACTAGAGTTTCGTCCCCAAGGGGACTTTTGACAACGTCTGGAGACTTTTTTGGGGGGTTGTAAGAACTTGAGAGGGGGACGCTAGTGGCATCTAGTGGGTAGAGGCCAAGGATACTGCTAAACATCCTACATCCAGTGTGTAGGACAGCCCCCACAACAAAAACAGAAAAAAAAAATCCCAAACTGTCAAAGTTGAGAAACTGTTCCAGTCTATTAATCCATCTTATTTTTGGTACATTTCAAAGTAAATGGCAGACATGGGGACACTTCTCCATAAATACTTTGGTGTCCATCAATAAATGTACTTAATTCATATTTTTGTATGGATTGTGTACGTCCATATGTACTTAATCCATGTTTTTGCTATTCAAGTCTACATTGTAGAGAATAGTTTTAATCATCTATTATCTTTTTGTTTTTAATCTAGTCATTAAAAACGGTCCTTTGAAATTTATGATATTTATTTGTAGGTACCATTTTTCTCATTCTCAGATGCTGAGTTTGACTAGCAAAAGACATATCATTCTACGAAGTTTTAGTGTAACCATGCTTAGAAAAAGCTCTTTGGTGCTCATTCACTTTAGAATTCAAAGCCAATTATTTTCCTCTTGGGCTAGACTCCAAAATATTCAGGGTCCTACCTAGACACTGTAGATAGAGTTTCTTTTTCATTGCATTAGTCAGTGATGACCTTCTTTGACTTCTAGAAACAATTTTTTTTATATACTTTCTGTTTCAGAGAGGAATAGTTCCATATTTATAATTTTATCTTTTAAATCTTGGTAGTTTTTCAGTTGTTATTCATAGTCATTGGAAACCTTGTTTGACTCTGCAGGTGTTGTTTGTGGCAGTTAACTGTTGGTGGAATCAGGGGAAATGCAGAAAGCAGAAGCATTTCTTTTATTTTCCTGTGATATATCTGTATCATCGAAGGTAAGAACTTTCAAATACTGTTTCTAATTCCAACTAAGTTGATCAGTTTCAAAGTGATTTTTTTTCCTCTTTAAAAGTATTGGATATTCACTGTAGAAAATTGAGAAAACACAAGTAAGCAAAAATAAATAAAAGGATCTGGATCATTTTATCAGCCGTACATAATCCCTGTGTGCTTTGATTTATATGCTCCTGTGAGTACACATATCTATACCCTTAATTAAAAATAAAAACATACCATGTAGTAATACTCTTTCCTAAACTGCTTTTTCTTACTTTAGTGAACATCTTTTCATGTCATTACATATTCTACAGCATTGTTTTTTGTTTTGTTTGTTTTTTTGTTTTTGTTTGTTTTTTATTGGGGAACAGTGTTTTTTTCCAGGACCGATGAGCTCCAAGTCACATTGTTTCAATCTGTTTGTGGAGGGCGCATCTCAGTGGCCCATGTGCGGATAGAACTGGCAACCCTGGTGTTAGGCACCCACGCTCTAACCACCTGAGCTAACTGGCCACCCCTTACAGCATTGTTTTTAATAGTATCAGTTACTCCATTGTGTGGCTGTACACCTTAGATATTATGAAAGTATTTTATGGTATAAAAATACACAGAAGTCCCTATTCTGTTATCTGGCAGGATAGCATAATCAAGAGGGTATCTTCCCATCTTTTCAATTGGGAAGAAAGTTACTACAAGTCCATAATCCTGTATTCATAATTCTGAAATCCAAAGACCTCTGAAAATCTGAAAGACTTTCACATATTTTGTCCCCAAATACAATCACCTGGCCTGAAGTAACAAGAGGTTTCCTGTAGTCTTTATCCCACTTATGTGTCACTTTATTCAGAAATATTGGTGTTTCATTTTGGAGTACTGCCCAGACCCTGCTATGGGTGTTAAGTAATGTCTAAAATCTGACATGAAGGATTTTTGAGACAGGAGATGGGATTCTGGACTTGATTCAATGTAATCAGCCTGAAATTTGTTAATGAGGGTAAAATGGGTAAAGATGATGTGGTTAGTAAGAGCTTTGCTTTTTGGATTTTACTTTTTTCCTCTCTCTAAGCTTCCTGGGCCTTAGTCATTGGGGATTTATAACAAACATCCACAAACTGTCACTTGTGTGTTGTCTGTTACGGTCCATCACACTTCATGTCTCTAACAAAATGTGTGGCAGTGTTGCTTCTCAGGATTTATTAAATAGTATTTGGGCAGAAACACTTTTCCATGCCATCTCCCTCAGATTTTCTTCTAGATATGTGAATGCTTTCTCAGAGTCACTTTCTCATGGTTGCCTCTTTTTTTTTTTAAGGTAAGTGTAAAGTATTATACTTGAAGGTTCTAAAACTCGATGCTATGTGATGGGATGATGAACTTGCCCACGAAGGTCCCTGCATTTCGTTTCGTGGAAATAGGAAATATGTGGAAATAGGAAATAGGGAGTAGATGCCTAGTGGGGTGTATAGGACTTGCAACTTTATGTAACCAAGTCAGCTGCCCAGAGGTGGGCTTAACTTGATGTGACATTAAAATCAGAACAGTTCCCTTGAGTTGAGTACAAAATGTCATTTGGGATATGTGGGTGTGAAATATTGTCTTACACTGTTCATTTTCTTAGTTTTATAGAAAGAGTGAAAGGACATGAAAGGAACTTTAGAAAGATCTAGTCCTCCGCTCTCATTTTACAGATGAATTTGAGGCTGGTACTCACTTTGAAATGCTTGCCCCTCATTTTTACCTGTTAGAATTTTACTTGTTTAAGTCAGAATCATTTCAACGTGTACCATCCCCAGTGTACCAAGAACAGAAGTGCTAAGGGACAGAAATACCCGACAGGTAGCCTTGTTGTATTCTGTTTAAGAATCTCCAGCCCTCTACGAATGAACATGTACCATCTCGTAAACTCTCTTCTGAGCAGTTCGTAGCCTCGAGATTCTTTTGGTTAATGTGCTTGCAAATGTGCCCTTGAGTCTCATCCCTGGGCAGACGGCTGCTGTTGTGTGAGGTTGCTGGTGTTTGTATGACTTAACCTAGTCGTAGCTGCTTAAAGAAATGAACAGGCTTTTCTGTTTTGTGAAAGTAGATTCCATGTGTGGCTTATATTGATACCAGTTACAGAGTCAGTCAGTTTATAAAAGGCTCTGAAGCAGGGAGTCGCTTCTCAAAAGTCTCTGTACGAAGCTCAGCAGCCCCACGTCAGCTTGTCCTGCGGTGATGGCTGTGGTATGTTAGAAAACATGTCCCCCATCCTGCGTTCTGAGATCTTCTCATTACATGTCCCTGGGACCCTTGTAACTTCATGCCAGCAACACTCAGCAGAGCCTGTTTGAGTAGATGAGGTTTCCAGATTGGTTGGCTCCTTTCTGCTGAAAAATTATCATATGATTTTTTTTTCTTTCTTCCTTTAAATTAAAAATTATTGGTGGTTGATGGGGTTGGTGGTGGTGGTAATTTTGAAACTTGAATTAGTTAACAAATTAGTTGTAGTAAGCCTTGAATTATAGAATTGTTAACTCTATCTTCCAGCTATGCACGTAGAATGCTCTATTTACTCTTTTCATGCTAATATTCCTTTGGCCTCATATTCTGCAGTGCACACTAAAGAATTATGTTTATTGTACCACATTGTGTGTGTGTTAATTTCTGTAACCATGTATTATAGTATCATGACCATAGTACTATCCATTTAATTCTTTACTGTGCTCTGTCTATTGTTGCTATTAACAGTAAGCTTAATGTCAATGCCTATTTAGAGAGAAGAATGGATGTGGAGTTGCTGAATTTCACCGTATTCCCTACCCCTGCCACATACTGCCCAGTTATATTTGAGCAATGTTTGTGTTGTGCAAGATTGAAGAAAGCCATGTGAGGATTCTGAGTGGCTTAGGAGGATAACTGAATTTTGGCAGTATTGCTTAACAATCTTAAATCAAATTCCTGTGCATCCCCAAGTACATCTGGAGTGGAAAACTAGGGAAGTCATTTATCCAGGTCCCTGACTTGGGACCTTCACATAATTATTTTGTTACAATAAGGCTTTAAATAGGCTTAAGGTTCGCTTAGTGACCCTTTGTGTGTGTATATATGTATATTCTCACACACACACACACACACACACACACACACATTTTAATTTTATTGGGGAACAGTGTGTTTATCCAGGACCCATCAGCTCCAAGTCAAGTAGTTATTTCAGCCTAGTTGTGGAGGGCGCAACTCAGTGGCCCGGCAACCTTGATGTTATAAGCAGTGCGCTCTAACCAGCTGAGCTAACCGGCCGCCCCAGGGTAATATTTAATAACTCCTTTTTAGTAGGCCAAGGGCCAGATGCTGCTCAACTTGTGCCTTATTTTGGAGTGACACAGAAAGGAAAGTCTGCCCCCCTGCATTGAATTGTGTAGTTCAGATTCTGGACTCCTTTCGCATTTGGTCAGTTTCCAAGGTTGCCTTTCTGTTTTGTTTTCTAAGGAAATATTACTTTAGGAATTAATTCTTTGATCAGAAAAAAAAAATCCTCACATGTCTGTCTTCACTCTTGCACAATACAAACATTGCTCCAATATAATTGGATGGTATGTGGCGGGGTAGGGAATATGGTGAAATTCAGCAACTCTATGTAACGGCTGCTTGTACCTCTCCTCACATAAAAGTCTTCTTAATTGGCCCTCTGGTCACCTGAGACAAAGAAGGCACTTACCTATGAACCAGGCAGAATCCTAAAGCAGGACAGTTTCATTTTTGTGGTGTTGATGATTTGGGTTATACATTGCAAGTTTAATGCATGGTGTATTATTTTTATTTTTTATTTTTTATTTTTTTGGCACTAGTTTTGGACCAATCGAATACAAAGGCCCCATGAGTGCTGTTTACATTGAGAAGTTTGTCCGCCGGGTGATGAAACCACTTCTGTACATCCCATCTCAATCAGAATTACTAGATTTTCTCTCAAACTACGAGGTACCTATCTTTCATGTCTCCTCCCTTAACCAAGGCTTCACTGGGTTGTATTGGATTGTTTATGTTAGAAGGGTTGTTTATACCTCCTGGTTTGTAGCAATTAAGAGATCACAGTATGAGGGCCGGCCAAGTGGCTCAGTTGGTTAAGAGCTCGCTCAAGAGTTTGAGCTCTGAGCAACAGGGTCCCTGGTTTGATTCACGACCCGAGCTGAGCTGCCAACAGGTGGCAGGATGGCTCAGCAAAAAAAAAAAGAAAAAAAAAGAGAGATCACAGTATGGATAAGCCCCAATTAAATGCTTTTTTTTTTAAAAGATTTTTTTGGGGAATTGGGGGGAGGGGAACAGCATTGGGGAATCGGGGAAGAGGAACAGACAGGTAGACAAATTGCTGTTTTGCTCTTCAGTCTAGTTGTGGAGGACGTTGCCTCACTGGCCCATGTTGGTATGATCATTGTGCTCTTCCCGGGTGAGGCAGTCGGTCACCGGTCATTGGTTGGCCGCTCACAACGGCTCCCGGTAGCTCGCACCGGCTACCAGCTGCTCATGCTGGCTGCCAGCCACTCATGTAGCTCACAGCAGTCCACCGCAGCCCTGCTGCAGCCTGTACTGTCACCGGCGACTCACAGCAGCCCAGCTCCAGGTCGAGCTGTTGTTCATCATCTTAGCTGTAGAGGGCGCGCGTCACTGGCCCTCAATGTGGGATCCGAACTGCAGCGCTGCTGCTTAGAGCTGGTGGTCCCAAGCGAGCTCTTAACCAGCTGAGCCACTCGGTCAGCCCTAAATGCTTTTTGAGATACTTGATTATAGGGATGGTTTGCCCAAGTTAGTTTTAAGAGAATAGAATACAAACTTCATCTGTTTTTTGTTGGTTTGTTTTGTTTTTAGCTGAGCCATCCTGCCACCTGTTGGCAGCTCAGTGGCAGCTCAGCTCTGGCCGGGAATCAAACCGGTGACCCTGTTGCTCACAGCTCACACTCTTGAGCGAGCTCTTAACCAACTGAGCCACTTGGCCGGCCCCTTATCTGTTTTTTATTTGGGAATTTTCAAGAGACTTTCAGTTTGTCTCACAATTAACTTAGAATATGTAAGAGTTAACTTACAATTTATATACAGCTGCAAATTTCTAAAAATTTTGATGCTTTATGGTATCTTATTGATGAAATCTCTGGTTTTTCTTGTCAGTTATAGTTCAGCCTTTACAAAGAAAATAAAATGGGAACTATGTTCCTTTTTAGTTTATTAAGTATATAACTATTTTAAGGTCTTAACAGTAAGTTTCCCAACATGGCTTCTCTACTGCTTTCCTGTTGTGAGCTTCAACCCTGATAAATTATTTTTATAGGATCTGCAATGTATGTTCAGGACAGTTTATTATTGAGAGGCCAGTATAAAGCTTAAAATAATCTCAAGAAATTATAAAAATAGTTCTACAAAAAAATTTATTGGAGCAAGTATAAAATCATATATAGGTACAAGTGAAAGTGCTGTATCCTAGCCACTAGACCACCAGGGAACTAACGACAAGCAAAAATGATACTTATGTATGAGTACCTGATAGAGATAAAAACAATATGAATCCAGATCTTACTAATTGAGAATTTAGTAATTGTGACTGGGTTGAATTTTTCCACTGTGTAGTTTAGACATGAATTTTTCCACTGTGTAGATTAGACATGAATTTCTTTCACTAGAACATCTTTTATAGCTTTTGAATCATGTTAGAGATACCATTTATGTGTTAACTAGGAGCACATTCCCTAAGCAGCAGTGTTAATATTTAAATTCTTCTGCTTGTTGTTCTCAGATGGGCATTAGAGTCAATGCTTCCTTACTCTTGCATGGATAAAGGATGGGTTTCCATGCGCCTCGTGGGCTTCCATTCTACCTGGGCAGGCTTGTGGGCAGGAGCTACACTGGGAGGCATGGCGGAGGCATGGCACCTGGGCCTAGTTCCTTTGGCAGCACTAATTAGGTCTGTTACTTGAGGCAGGTCACTCACCTGCCAGGCATCAGAGGCCTGGCACAGGGTATCCTTGAGATTCTTTTTAACTCTTAGGTGCAGTAATTGTGTAATAGTGGGTTTTCACATAGATCTGCAGTAGATGGAGGCAGAGTCACTGGAGGTGGTACAACAAAATGGTGAAGAATCAGGAATCGGACAGACCTGAGTCCAAACTCAGCTCTGTCACTTAGCTGTGTGGCCTTGGGCTGCTTACTTAACCGCTTTAAGCCTCCTCATCTGTAAAACAGGGATTAAATGAGGTAAGACATGAAAATGTCTTATGTAGTCCCAAGTAAATGAAAACATAGTAGAAAAACCCTGGATATTTATTCCTGTCGAGAGAACTTTAAGTGTGCGTGATGCCGCCAGAAGTCCCTATTTATATTAAAAAAACCCTTTGTTTGTTTTGTAATTAAAGTGATTAAAAAATGGCTTGCAAGGGCCAAGAGATCTTCCTTCAGTTATGCTCTTTTGAGACTTTTGTAGAATACTGTGCTCTCTGATTGTTACCCTCTGTTTTTTTCTTTAAATTTTCAATCCCTTCTAAAAAGTAAAGAGAAAATAGGGAGAGGAGATGAGGCACATCACCAGATACCGTACAGCATGTGTTTACGCTTCCAAAAAAAGTGTGGAAGAAATTCTGATCATTGTGTCTAATAAGGGCACTGAGAGGTGGCTTTGTTATTATCTTCAGCTCTATCGGAGATTTGTATCCAGAGAGTTCTGAGCCAGTTCTTAGCAGAGGTCATGTGATGAGGAGAACTTAGCCAGGATTCTAGGGACCTGGGTTTTAGCCCTGACATTAGCAACTCTGATTTCTGAGTTTTACTCAGATATCTCATCTCTAAAATAAAAGTGTTGGCTCAGATAATCTGCCCTGACTGTTTTGTCTTTTGTGAAGTTTAGAGAGGTTGCAAAGAGGCAGACAGAAGGAGGCTCACCAGTTTTGGGTTGGGAAAGGGTTTTTGAGGCAATCCCTTCGAACACCTGTATCAGAGATCTTTCTAACCCTTTTCTATTTCTTGCCTCTAGATGTTTGAAGTGTTCTCTTAGTTAGTATCTGCAGGAGAGAGAAAAGTGCACATTTATGCAGCAAGGATGAGTCCTTACGTTTATTTAGCCTCTGCATTCTTTGAACCTGCTTTCAGCAGTGCTTTTCGAGATTATGCTCCCAGTGTAGCATTGAGTTCACATTAGACTCAGTGCCAGTGACATCACTCAAGGTTGTTTTTGGCAGCCCAGCCCACTTAATTAGAGTGACAAACAGCAGTGATTGGACTGCCTTTGAACGGAACCAAAAGAATGCTGCCAGGACAGGACCCTGTACAGCTTTTGTCAGCCCTAAAGGGGCTTCCTCCCCAAAGCTGGAGGTAGCTTTTATCATGTGAGTATTGTCTTTCCTTGGGCTTCTTCTCACTGAGATGAAATCTTCTAGTTGGCAAGAGACAATATTTGATTAATTGTGACAGAACTTGAGAGTCAAGCCTAGGATGACACTTGGGAAACCATTTCTCTCGTGAAACATACCAAATATGGCCTAGAAAGAAGTGACATCAGTTTCATACACACGCTGTATAAGAGAACATAAAGACAGTATTCCAGATCCGATCCAGAAATGAAACCATTGCCATGGCTTTGACAGTTGAATAACTAGGAAAGTTGAAGGAGGCTCCACTCTAGAGCTCAGGATACTTTTGGGCATTCCTCTAAATTAAAATTTCTCACTCTCAGCATTGTTAACATTTGGAGTAAGATAATTTTTTGTCTGGGGGTTGGGGGGCTGTCCTGTCCCTTCCAGGATGTTTACCAATATCTTAGCCTCCACCTACTACATACCGGTAGCACGCCCTCTCCCTCTTAGTAGCCACAACCAAAAATACCCAGGTATTGCCAAATGTCCCTTAGGGGGATGCAGAATCGCCCCAGTTGAGAACCTCTGCTCTATCTAAATTATAATTTCCCCAAATAAGACCTCAAGATAATGCCTCACAGATGTTAGTACAAACACATCTCTTTTCCGTGTAGCACACAGAATGCCACAATCCATTGCAAGTGTATCTGCTTACAACGATGGCAGTAGAGAGAAGGCGAAAATTAATGCCTTGTCTCGGAAATTCTGGATCGCTATCGGTAGGGAACTAGAGCCAAGAGTGAGTTACATTGTCTTCAATAGAGCTGTCCCCATACTCAGCTTTTTATTCCAGTCGTTCATCTGGACCCACCCCCCAAAAAAGCATATATCCTAAGTATGTTCAGAATCTTCCTGATTTAGAGAAATCTTACTGAGAAAGTTACTTGTTTTGATCAAGAGCCTTACCTCCTCATTTATATATATTTTTTATAAATATGAATTTCAGTATCCAGTATGTTAAACTTTGGTATACCAAACGAGGCCAAAATAATCATTTAACGTTTTTGTGGCACTTCTGAGGTTAGCATGGCATTGTTTTTTGCTGTATGATAATCACAGTATCGAGGCAGGGTAGGGTCTAGAATTTTCTTCCCAGAAGTGCACTAAAATCATAGCTACCTTACAAATAATGAATGTAGAGGCCGGCCGAGTGGCTCAGTTGGTTAAGAGCTCGCTCAAGAGTTTGAGCTCTGAGCAATAGCAGTTCGATGCCCGGCCCGAGCTGAGCTGCCACTGAGCTGCCAACAGGTAGCAGGATGGCTCAGCTAAAACAAACAAACAAACAAACAAACAAACAAAAAACAAAAGTGAATACAAATAACGAATGTAGCTAAACACTGAAGTGAACTTGCCAGTGCGTACTCCAGAGGGAAATCAAGAGCTGTAAAAACAAATTTTACTTTCTTCCTTTACTCCAATTGTAGAATCCCTCTTCCTGGGGTTCTTCCTGCCTATTTAAGATACAGGCAGGAAAATGTCATTTGTTACTTGTGGACAACATAGGCAAACACACCTCAGTGTCATTTTTATTGTGGTGGACATTACATTGATTGGAAAGGGAATAGGATTGAGTAATATAACATCACTTTCAGTCACTAGTTTTGTGGCTCTTCTAATTTTGGTATGTTTATAGACCTCATTTGGCTTAGGTATTGGTAGCTTCTACATCAATAATGCTTTCTTTTTTATTTTTTTTTATTTTTTATTTTTTTCAGATTTTTTATTGGGGAGTTGGGGGAGGGGAACAGTATTGGGGAATCGGGAAGGGGAACAGACAAGTTGCTGTCGTTTTGTTCTTCAGTCTAGTTGTGGAGGACGTTGCTTCACTGGCCCAAGTTGGCACCATCATTACGCTCTTCCCAGGAGAGGCAGATCAGTCGCCGGCTTCTGGACGGCCGCTCACTGTGGCTGCTGGCCGCTCACGCTGGCTGCTGGCTACATGCCGTAGCCCATGGCAACCCACTGCCACAGGGGCTGCAGCCTACGCCGTTGCCGGCGACTCACGGCAGCCCAGCTCCAGGTTGAGCTGTTGTTCAGCATCTTAGCTGTGGAGGGCAGTGTCACTGGCCCTCATATGTGGGATCCGAACCGGGGCCCTCTGGCATCCCAAGCCAGTTCCTAACAATCGCGCCACTCGGCCGGCCCTCTTTTTTATTTTTTAAAGCACGTGACAGAACTATCTGATTTGCACCCACCAAATGCCAACAGTATTATTTAGAACTCTTGTATATGCAGCCAAAATATTTTCTAAATCTTTTCAGAAATTTCTGTAATTTATCTGCTTAAGAGCAGTGATTTAGCATACACCCATTCATATATTCTCAGCAGTTTTGGTAAACTAAATTGTTTTAAATTTATTTGGGATGGGGAAAGGCTTGGGAATCTTTTGGAGGGGGAAGTAGGATGTTAGGTAAATTGCCAGGCGACAGAAAACCTGAGCCTTATGGAGAAAAATCTAGTAGAATGCCTGGCAGTTCCTGTTGTTTGTTAGTAAAAGACTATTCTGAATGCTGAGCAAATAAATAGATACTGTTTCTGTCTATTCATAGTTTTATAGCACTGTGAACTGAATAGTTTTAAATTTTCTAGGTGTGAGTTATTAATAACATTAGTGCAGAAATATTTCAATTGCCATTGAGTGAAAACACACTGAAATAACTCTTCTCACAGCCACACAGGATGTGTACACCATCTGCTGAAATTTATGCCTCATTGCAAATGGTATTCACTGAGGAAGTAAATATTTTATGCTGATAAGGATTTGTTGGCCTCCTATAAATAGCCTATTTTCAACCTCCTCTTTATAGCAGGTACTGAACGTACTGTACATCATGGAATGGAATTAGAAATACACAAGCTGGGTCAAGTTATAATCTGGCACTCATTATGTTAGGTTCTTGGCCAAATTGAAAACCTGATAAAGGAGCTTAGTCTTATTTTTCTTTTATCCCCATTCATTCATTAATAAATGTTTTTTTGGTGCCTGCTCTGTGCCAGGCACTCTCTGAGCTGGAAATGTAATGAACAAGAGACAGCCTCTGTTTCATGGAGTTATAACATGGAGATAGACAACAAATAGGGAGATAAATAAACAAGGTACAGGGGGTTGAGCTGTGTCTTCCCTAAGTTCATGTCTGCAGTTGAGATCCTGTGACTGTTCACTTGGTAGCTGCTCAAGCTGTTTAAGGACCTGGCGGGGAGACTAAGAGAAACACTGCGGTTGGAACCCTGGTTGGGTGATCTTTACGCACGGTTAGCGACAGACTGAGGAGAGACAGCTACTTACCAGCAGAGTTTGCACCCCACCTGTCACTCAGCATCAGGCTGGCTCATGTGCTTGGCTGGCTCATCTGAAAGAGCGTCAACAAGATACTAGACGGGGTTAGAGTTGTGCTTTGAACCAGCCCTTGGGCTTATTTGCAGCTAGCAAACATGGCCTAGACCTAGAAAGGTCTGCAATATGTGAATATGCATGTGGTTTGTTCCCCAAAGCCCCCTTTTTCCAGATTTCAGAAAGAACTGTGGAGGAAACTCTAAAATATGTAAACATTTCTCAAATACAGCTTCTGTTGGGGAGTCACCGAAACTTTGGGGACATGGTTGTGACATTTGTTTTACCTAAAGCATAGCCAGAGCCAGTTTAGTAACTTTCAAATGATAATTTGTAATGGAAATAAACAGATAACTATCATTTCTCTTTATTTCCTCTTTTTATTTTGAAATATTAATTTTGTTTCATTCTCAAACATGCCAGTTTTCAAATTTCAATACAGAATGTCACAGTATTGTGAATATTTGAAAAGTAGCACTTAAAATATACTTTGCCTGTTTTTTGTATTTTAAAATAGCTGGTATACAGCCTTTAATCATCTCATAGTTGTTGAATCTTACGGCTTCATTTCTTTAGCAATGAAAAGTGAAAATAATTTTGCTTATGAGTTTATTTGCTTTGTATTGTTAGTGAAATTTCTTTGGTCAAACCACTTGAAAAGTTCAGTACCAGTTCTTTTGAAGATAGAGGCTCATTGATCCAAGCTACGTAGCCCCTTGGAAAATTGCAGCAGTGATGCCATCGACAAAAATCAGCCCTTGCACTGTAGAGAGGTCCACAAAGGACCCCTCAAACAGCCCAATCTTTGTTCATTTTAAAGATTTAACTGGGGTTTCCCTTCAAGACGCAGAATTCAAAATTTTGTACTTCCATTAGTGTGTGTACATGTGTGCTTATGTATACATAAACACACATGTAGTTGCATACGTGCACATAGATGTGTATGTGTTTATGGGCCATATGGCCACTTGTGTGAAACCACCAGAGATCACATAATGTGAGAACAGAGTTGAAATTCACCTCACTTAATTTTTAGCCAGGAAACATTTATCAATACTTAGATGAATTTATTCCATTTGATTTTGGTTTGGGAGAGTGGTCAGAGCATAAAGAAGCTTAAATGAGTATTTTCTCTACATTAGTTTCCATTCTTGTAACTTTGTGTCCAACTTTAAGTGACTGGAATGTCTGAAGATTTTGTCTTCCTTGTTCTTGGTAGGAAGGCTTGTTACGCCATTGCAGCCTGGTTTGAAACCTTAAGAACCCCAACAGTATGAAATTCGTCTTTAAGCCAATTATGGATTGGCTTGTTAAAGACTTTTTGGAGAAGGGTTAGCAAAAGAAAATCTTGTTTTTGATAACTTTACTTTCTGAATTACTCAGTTCTTTGAGATGTTTGTTATTTGCTGGGTTTTTTAGATGTTAGGATTTAACATTCTGACTCAGTGTCTACCAGAATGAAAATCAAGTGAGTTATTTAAAATTGAATCTTATGAGAACAAGCTAGTGATGTAGATTTGAAAGATAGTATGTTCCACTACAGATCAGAAATTTCCCTTTTTTAATATACAACATTGATTTTAAACTTCATCAACAGATTAAATTTCTACCTTACCTTTTGGATTTGATTTTGTCCCAGTGATCAAATCAGCTCCTTGATTACTTATTAAGAGCATGGTGTTACGTGCTTTAAGGCTAGAAAGGAATCTTCACATTTGCCTAGTGCTCATTCAAGCCCATTCTTCTCAGTAACCCCATTTGCCTGATAAGAAAACTGAGGCCTCTCCTTGAAGGGTTCACCCAAGATCATTCAGCTATTGGACTTGAGCTTAGGTTTTCAAGCCCGGCACTCTAAACTCAGGGATATCAATTGGCTTTTAAGATGGATACGGTTATACAGAACTAAACTGGACAGAATGATTGCCACAGGGCCTTCAAAGATGGAAGAAATTATTCTGAACATGAAGGCAGAATGTAACTGGAAGGGGACAATTCATTGGTTTGGCAAAATGGAAAGGCATTTTGTGCTAAGCTCAGAGAAATGGAATGAGCAAGGTGGAAATAAGTCTGTGGGGTGGAGGACCAAGAGGGTAAGAGGTAGGCCCTCTGCAGACTGACCTGACAAGACAGGAGGGTGGCCATTGCGGAATGCTGGGTTCTGAGTGTTGGGAAGGAAAGAACCCCTTGAAGGATGACCTTGAATGCAAGCAGAACCAGTCAGATTTAACCTGATTTCTAGTAAGCGTGGGGTGTAAGTAAGGAGAGAGTAAGGAAGCGATTGAAGGAGAAATCTAAGAAAAGTTACAAAGAAATTATTGACATAGCTTGCCTGGAGTTGCTGAACAAAAGTGAGTGAGCACTTGTACTTGATGGTGAGGCTTCGAACCAGGGATCTAGGAGAACTGTCAACAGAGGGTGGAAAAGCCCGCTTAGGAAGAGGGAAGGAAGTTTCCGCTCCCAGTGGCCCCTGTAAAAGCTGCTGCCAACTGCACCCTTTACCCTGTTGGTTGTCTAAATGGAGGGAAAGGTCGACCCTAACGTGCAACCTTTTTAATGTAGTTAGGCTTTTTTAAAAAAATGAAATGCAACAAATTGCATTTGTCAAATGATAATGGCATGTCTTGTTTTAAAATTGCCCCCATTACACAGTGACCCGTGATACCTCAGACCCCTAATTCTGCTCTTGTTCCTGCAGCCTGGAGTACTTGGGTACTTTGAGTTCAATGGCTCTCCCCAGCCTCCTGGTTATTTGACCTTCTTCACCTCAGCGTTATATTCATTAAAGAAAGGTAAACATTCATATTAAGACATTTGTATTTTAACCAAGAATGTATGTATATTGATATCTTTTGCAAATGTTATCTTTATGGTTATAGATTTTCATTTTCTTGATTCCATTTCTCTTTTTGTGTCAAATAATTACATTGTTTTATTTTCTATTGGCAAACAGAAAATACTATGCTCTTTCAAATTTAGTCTCTTAAATGTTTAGGTTTTGAAAAAATGTAGCTCGGTCATATGTGTCTGCAATTTTATAGTTTGCACTTTATAAAATTTATTATATCTTAATCTCTTTTTTTTGCGTGCGTAGTTTAAAGTTTTGGTCAGAGCTTTCAATGGTTGTATTGTCAGTTGGATATACCATAATTTAGGAATATACTTTCTATAATAAGTATTTTTACAAGTATAAAAGTCACGTCGCATTACAGTATAAGCCTACTGCCGGTTTTACTATTCTCAAATCCGTATATGTATATTTTTTACTATAGCTAAATCATGTATTATTGGAGGCCCTGCTTTTTAAATCACACATTGTATCCTGCCCATTTTTTCGTGTTGCTCCATGTTTCTTCTTTGTATCACTCATAACCTCCTGTCAGCTCTCTGTGGGATACACTCATCTGCTCACTTGTCTCCATCTCTTTTGTTACCATCACTCTGGTCCAAGACTTTCCCCACCCTAGACTAGACCAGTGGGCACTTAACGGGTATCCACTCTTACCCTTTTGCCTCACACTAGAGTCTGTGCATGTGCTGGTCCTTCTGCCTGAAAGGTGCCCTCTGCCTCCCCGGCCTCTGAGGCCCTGCTCTCCACCTGTCAAGCCCCTACTCATCCTTCAGGATCCCCTCAAATATCACTTCCACAATCTCCCCCAGTCTCAATTGGGTACCCCGTTGTTTTCTCTCACGGCACTTGACGTAGTTTGTATTATGTATGTAGTTATGAAATGATTTTTTTTTAATATCTGTCTTCTTCCCCAGACTAAGATTTTGAGGGTAGGGACCATGTGTCTTCGGTTTAGCATTCTTTTACCAGTGTCTGGTGCATAGCAGTGGTTCAGTCACTATTTGCCAAGTGAGCATGAGACTGGTGGCCATATCATCTCTTCCTCAGCATATCAACCAGCCTTCTCCTGCTGGGCATTAGACTGCTTTATTATTATTTTTTGGTGTTATAACAGTATACTACTAATACATCAAACATTTATGACTGGCCATTTTAATATATACATTCTCTTAAAGTTTTATTCATAGAGAATCTGCTGCATTCATGTTTTTCACCCAGGGGACACTGGGAGAGGAACTCAAACTGTCACATAAGTATGTCTTCTGTCCACTTGAAAGGCTTTGAGCTGCAGCCTCAGGTGACTAAGAAGACTTAGTGAGTCAAAGTTTGAATTTTGAAAACAAAATAGTACCAATTGAAATAAGCTTAAGAACTACATATTCAAAAATCTTCTTAGAAAACTAAAGCCCCTCGAAGATTTCAACCGAAGATTATATATAAAGGGGAAACCTAGAGTCATTCACTGAGGTGATGGTAGCATTAAGTTCTAGAGTTGAAGAGGAATTTTCAAGATCATGGAAGGATGTTTTGTTATCTGGTTAGCTTACATTACGTGCTAATGATTCACCTTAAATTACTTTTTCATTCAGAGGTTTCCAAAATACTGCTTCTTTTTGGAAAAACTTTTCCAAGTACAAACCTTTTCCCCGGTTTTTTCTTTTATTTTTTTAAGCAAAGGAAGGTCAAAAATGGGTAAAAAGGAGGGTCAAAAATGGGTAAAACCAACTTGCAGGTACCAAACAAACTTCTTGGTCAAATCACTAATTTTGATAAATGATTACATGAAATTTCTTCTCTGACTAAATCTAGTCTGATTTAACATGAGTCCATTGCTTCCCTATCTTGTGATTCTAATTGGGTCTTGTAAAATCCTGTTGCATATTAACTTTGCAAGAACTGAGATTCATTCTAATTAATCATTTTTCACTTCTTATTTGTGGGTAAGCTCCCACTTGAGCTTAATGAACCATTTTTAGAAGAAAAAGACAAATTTGGAATGATGATTTTCCATAATACATGCACTGTGAAGGATTACCTAAAATAAATCATGCCTTGGGCATCTGGGTTTTTTCCCCCTTTTTCTTTCTCCTACCCTGAAGTCAAGTGGTATTTTACTTATTATTAATAGGTGTTTGGTAAGAGAAACATATAACATATGCACACTTCTTTTTTAATGGTACAGTTTGAAGTGTAGATTCTAGGTCACTGTCATGTTTAGATTGTGTACACAAATCGAGGCCTGAGAAGCATTTCACACACTTAACATTTGGTGCAGCGGTTCTCAACCTTTCTAATGCCGCGACCCCTTAGTACAGTTCCTCATGTTGTTGTGACCCCCCAACCATAAAATTATTTTCGTTGCTACTCTATAACTGTAATTTTGCTACTGTTATGAATCATAATGTAAATATATTTTTGTTTTCCGATGGTCTTAGGCGACCCCTGTGAAAGGGTCGTTCAGCTCCCAAAGAGGTCGCGACCCACAGGTTGAGAACCGCTGGTTTAGACTGTTGTGGTAGAAAGCAGATGTCCTGGTTCCACAAGCCGCAAGCGTTTACAAAATGCACACGTCCTTCCATTGCCTTAATGAGTTTTTTTAAACTGCCTTAGAAACAGGATACTCTCTGACACTTGTTCCTTGAAGCTCGCTGGCCATCAGTCTACAGGTATTCTGAGACTACCGTAGGTGAAGCATTGGGCCTGGGTGCAGGGGGTGTGCTAAGAGGGGAGCGCATGTTTGCTCTCAGTAATTCGACAGTTTAGTTGTAAGACCTGGTCCCATGGTACTTTGCCATCGCTGTTCCCTTCAGATCGTTAATCTGTTTGATACTTTTACACATTATAATAAAGGAAATTAGGGAAAATTCACTTACCCACCTCACCACTTAGCATTAACTGCTTTCTCTTTTTGTTTTTACTATTTCCTTTCATCTTCGTTACCCATGTTCCTTTGCCTGTTGATCTAAGTCTCAGTGTTATCTGTCAGTTTATGTAGGCCCACCTGTTAGGTGACATGGGCAGTAACCCTTTGTTCTATTTCTGTTTATTCTTTTCCTAGCTGGTTTACTTTTATAATTATTTTTTTATATAGCAGTTCTATATTTTCAGGTTGTTAAATTTGTAGTTCTTTTTCTTTTTAAAGATTTTTTTATTGGGGAATTGGGGGGATGGGAACAGCACATGGGAATTGGGGGAAGGGGAACAGACAAGTTGCTGTCCTTTTGTTCTTCAGTCTAGTTGTAGAGGACGTTGCTTCACTGGCCCAAGTTGGCACTATCATTGCGCTCTTCCCGGGCGAGGCAGATCAGACGGTGGCTGCTAGCTGCTGGCTGCTCACTCTGGCTGCTGGCCACACACAGTAGCCTATGGCAACCCACTGCAGCAGGGGCTGCAGCCTACGCCGTCGCCAGTGACTCACAGCAGCCCAGCTCCAGGTTGAGCTGTTGTTCAGCATCTTAGCTGTGGAGGACAGTGTCACTGGCCCTCATATGTGGGATCCGAACCGGGGCCCTCTGGCGTCCCAAGCCAGCTCTTAACCATCGCGCCACTCGGCCGGCCCTGTAGTTTTTTTCTTGATTTAAATTTTTTTTCCCCAAAAAAATCTGATCACTAATTAGTTCACTTTTATTAAAAATTATTTAGCACTTTATGCTACTTAGATTTACTTTGGCTTAAAATACAGAGCACAGTTGATTTTTCCCCCATTCTTATTGACTAGCCAGCTAGCATTTACAAAATAATGCTTCCTTTCACCCTTATCTTGATGAAGCCTGCTTTGTTGCAAAATATTTTCTTACATGTAATTGGGTCTACTTCTGTGTTTTCTGTTGGTCTAGCTACCTCCTTCTGTATGAGTAAATATAATTTTGTGTGTTGCTTTGTAAGTTACTACTTAGTAAAGTCTGGACTCTGTGTCCTCTAGTTCTTGTGCTTAATGGAATATTAAGCACATCCATCCATGCATTTGGTTAGATTTTGGTTGGAATGGTATTGAGTGTATAGATTGACTTAAGGTAATTGACACGTTCATAACATTCAACTTCTCTTTCTAGGATCACAGCACAGTTATTCATTTATTCAAACCTTCCTTTTAATTTTTTATAATAGGTCTTATATATCCCTCGCTAATGTTTAATCATGTCAGAGTGCTGAATGATTCATTGTGGGCTAGCAGTCTGTGTATGTTTCAGGATCCTGAGGGAAACTAGTCTCCGATTTCTCCACTCTTCCCAGACTGCAAAGCCTATTTCTATGAACCTTTTCACATTTGACCTTGGCAGACAGGCTTCTTTCTTTTTTTGCCTAAAGAAAATTTGGTAGAGGGTTCAATATTTTTAATTTTTTTTCATCTTAGTATTTAATTATTTGCTGTGAAAATGCGTTCTGGTAAAATTTGTTATATTTTGCTATGATTCAGTGACTTTTTTAAAAGAGAAAATTTGCAACAAAGTTTGATACTCTTTTCATTCGACCTACAAAAGGGATGCAAGTGCCATTTAGGGGCTAAGCAGTGGCCTGGGAGCTGGCAGTGTCTGTCCTTATCCTTTGTCTACCCCTGATGGGAATCTGTAAACTTGAACAAAATATGTGACTTTTCTGTGTTTGAGATTGTCTGTCTGTAAAACTAGAGAGGGTAGAGATGAGGTAAATGCTTGTTTTGCCAGACCACATAATTTGTGAGATATTTTGGATGTGAATAAAGTAATAGTCTAAAAATGTATAGTAGCTTAATTAGGAAGCCACCTGGCTGAAAGCACTTAAAGGAAGTATAGTGTGTTCTCTTAGAAGTATCTACACCAGATAGTCTAGATATCCTGTAACTTGACCGAACAGCAGACAAGTCTTCCTCCCCCGCTTTCCTGTAGCACTCCAAGTCTGCTTCTCTGTACTTCCGGGTCCTCACTGTAGAGCTGACTGCATGTCTCTCCCACCAGAACAGGT